CAGCTTTGTTCACGTTGAAAAGAGAACAAAAAACTGCGTTTTGCAATGTGTTGTCTACTATTCGGGTCCCCGATGGATATTCATCAAATTTATCGCGATGTGTGCACGTGAATGAACGAAAAATACATGAGTTGAAAAGTCATGATTGCCATGTTTTAATGCAGCAGTTACTCCCGCTTGCAATACGCCCGGTTTTGCCTAAAGCTATTACTATGGTATTATTAGAGTTGAGTGCAATTTTTAGACAGTTGTGTAGTAAGAAGGAGTCTGAGGAAGGATTCAAGGAACTGAGTTCAAGAATTGCCTTGACATTATGTCAACTTGAAAAATATTCCCTCCTGCATTTTTTGATATAATGGTGCACCTTCCAGTTCACTTGGCAGATGAAGCAGCTCTTGCAGGGCCTGTTCCCTATAGATGGATGTATCCAATTGAACGGTAATTAATAAATTTTTATAAATTTTTTACAATTGTAGTCATAACTTTAATTTATAATTATAATTGTTTGTGTTTCGTTTATAATTATAGGTATTTGCAAACATTGAAGCGCTATGTTCGTAATAAGGGTCGTCCTGAAGGTTCTATTGCTGAAGCATATTTGGTGGATGAGTGCTTGTCCTTCTGTTCCATGTATCTTAGAGGATAGTGATGCTATTGACGTACTAGAGGATAGTGATGCTATGGATGATTATGTCATACCGAACTTGGATGATCGAATTCTTGATAATGAAAATTTCCATACAAGGGTTGGCGTGGAAGAAACTCCTTTTCTTGAATCATTAGCGTTGCCTACCGAGTTCGTTAATCATGCCAATGTCGACGATGAGCTAACAGATGATGACGGGGAATAAATATGTTAATTATTTTATGTATTAATTATACTATCTTTCATTTCGTATGTTATGATATCTTATTATAAAATTATATTTCTTCTTTTTATTAAGTATTATATATAAGTTAAACCTTTTTTTTTAATATTGGGTTATACTTTTTTTTTTTAGCTTGTTTCCTGTCGCTTTTAACCGACGGCATATGTCATCTGCGTCGATTTAATTGAAATATTTTGGGCGGCACTTTTCCCGATTTTTTTCAAGAGGGAATGGATTGGAAGAGCTTTTTCATTGAGTTGGCATCGGTTTTAACCGACGCAACCTTAGATTATTTCGACACAATGAAAGCTTATTTCGACACAGACTGTCATGTTACGTCGGTTTGATTCGACGCAATGTTAGCCTATTTCGACGCAATGTCAGTCTATTTCGACGCAAGGTAAAAACCTCTTGTGAATTATATGTATTAATGCGAAAAAAGGATGATTATTTTTTCTTATTTACAGTTCACGAAATTTTTAAGTTGTTAATTACACTATTTTTCTTTTTATTTAACAATTTTATACTTCTAAAAACTATAATATATATATATATATATTAAATTCTTTTATTTAAAAATTTTATACCCCTAAAAACGATCGATCTTCAATTTGAAATATTTACACTAGTGGATACCACAAAATCTTATGTTATACTTAATGAAAGTATGAATAAACTCTTTAAGTGTTAGTGAATCTATCGTTTTGATGGAATACAAATTCTACGAAACTAATTTCAACGATCCAACCGTCAAACATGTTTGTATATAATTCGAGATCGCATACGCCAAAAATTGCAAAAAAAAAAAACATTCTGAGATAAAGTAACGGGAAAAACTTATTCGACGATTATTAACGAAAAATCACGATTTAACGGTTATTTTAACTCCAATTTTGATGATTTTTTATATGTACACTCTTTCACCCTATATGAATACAGTGAATGATTTCAATCTTCAATTTAAAATATTTACACTTAATGAAAGTATGAATAAACTCTTAAGAGTTGACAAAATATTTTTTAGTGCAATGTTTTAATGTGAAAAGTTATCTTTTTTTTGGGTTACACAACTTACACATAACGTACCATAAGTTTTGTACGTACCAAAATAAGGATAATACAACGTACTAATAACTTGGTACGTACTAAATAAAAAATTGCATAACGTACCAAAATACTAATACATACCCAGATTAATACAAATTGGTACGTTATATTTAATATTTGTGCATGTTATATTTCATAATTGTATGTTAATATGATGTTTATATGTTTTTATAATTTAAAACAACAAATTATTTGCATAAGAAAAATTCATTTTAAACGAATTATGATAAGATAAGATAGGAAGTTTGTGGTGATTTTAGAATATTTATCATATTATTTTGTGAACTAGTTGGTCAATTATTTACAATAAAATTCATATTTTTTTAATTAAAAATTAACAGAAGAATGTTTGATCAAAAGTTTAAAAGTTATAGATGTTTGATTAAAAAAATTCAAATTTAAGGCGTCTATATCAAAATGATCCTAAAATTATATTTCTCTTTTTTATTAAGTATTATGTATAAGTTAAATTTTATTTATTAAAATATTATATGAAATAACATAACTGCTTATTTTTTAATTTTGGGTTAAACTTTTTTTTTTCTCCTCGTTTACATTTTTTTTTTAGTTAAACTCTTTTTTTTTAATGTTGGGCGGGAATTTTCCTAGTTTTTTTGCACGGGGAAATGGATTGGAAGAATTAGGGTCATATTGGACGTGCGAATGAACCGAGGCATCGAAATAATAAGTGGTTGCGTCAAAATAATAAGTAGTGGCGTCGGTTTAAACCGATGCAACCACTTATTATTTCGACGCAACCACTTATTATTTCGACGCCTCGTTTCATGCGTCGTTTTAAACCAACGCAACCACTGATTATTTTGACGCAACCATTTATTATTTCGATGTCTCGGTTCATTCGCACGTCCAATTCCGAGGCCACTGCAATGACTGTATGTCAGAAGAACGTCGGTTAAAACCGACGCAAATTGTCTTTTATTTCGACGCTAGGCAAATCTGTAAGAATAACGTCAGTTTTAACCGTCGCAATATGACCCTATTTCGACGCCAGTAGTATCCTTGCAGTCAAAAGTGTGTCAGGCTATGTGTATCTAGGTCGAGTCAAAGGTTGTGTCGGTTTTAAGCGACGTAATGTTTTCATATTTCGATGCTAAGTTTTTTTCCATATTTAAGCTTCTATATTTCGACCTATTTCCGTGTGTTTCCTTTTCATTCTCTCATTTGACTCTCTCATTTGACTCCCTCTCCTTCTCCATCTTCTTTATTCCGCATTTCTTCCATGATTCCTTTACTTTTGCTATGGATAGTAGTAGTGATCATCAACGTTATGAGGAACTTCATATGGAAGAGGAGGAGGTCGAAGCTGGTTATTTTTCCATATTATTATTAGTTTCGTTTCTATTTTTTTTTTTTTTTGTGTGTGTTTAATCTACTATTATGCTTAAACTGAAAATTTACAGTTGTTTCCTACTTTTTTGGTGTGTTTTAATTGTGGTTTTTGTATGAACAAGGAACATCTCAACGGAGGCGAGGACCCTCAGTTCCCAAATTGACGAAATAGCTTTGTTCATTTGATATGTCCGGAAAATGCATTAGTGATAATTCTAGTGCATTTTCAAAATATGTGGCATCGGAGGTTAGAGACCACAGAAATCTCCCATTGGCGAAGCATTGGCGTAAGATTAAGGATGTAGATAAGGAAGCTTTCTGGAATAGAATTAAGGTATAGATATTTTTATTTTTACTAGAAAATAAAAGAATAATTCAATGATTGTTATAATATTTGACTTGGTTGATTTTTTTTTTTTTTTTTTTTTTTTATGGATGTAGGGAAATATTGTTTTTAAAGATGCAGATATACCAAAAACTCCTTTGATCCGCTTTATGACGCTTAAGGTTGTTGAGCATGCACATAAAGAGTTTAGAAATAAGTTAAAAAAAAGTATTATACCGAAAGAGCAGCAGAGGAGCCTCGCCAGCCTCCTCCTGATGTGAATCCTACCGAGTGGGTTAATTTGTTGGCATACTGGAGTGGAGATAAAACAAAGGTAATCGTTATGTAGTTTATTTTGTTATAACTATAAATTTGTCTAATAAATTTTTTATTTTTATTTTCAGGAGGTTGCTGAAAAAAACAAGATTAATCGGCAAGGAAAACAATGAACCATACTACTGGTACAAAATCTTTTGCAAGAAAGCGGCAAGAATATGTATGGATTGTACAATTTGAAGAAATGTTATTTTAAATATTCTATAGTTGTTATAAATTTTAATTTTAATGAGGTTTGCTTAAAATTGTTCGTGTGAAATTTTATTTTTGGTAAAGCGGAAGAAGCATGGGAAAGAAGACGATCCTGTAACCTTTTTTCGTGAATGTCATACACGAAAAAATGAAACTTGGATTGATGAAACATCGGAGCGTACATGGGTAATTTATTTTGCTGTGTTAGTATTTCATTGTTATTAATTTTTATTATCTATAGCTTATTTTTCTGTTTTATGAATGAATTTTTATTTTTAAAAATTGTAATGCAAGGCAACAATGGAGAGCAATCTGCAAACTTTGATTCAGTCGGGGCAAGAGGATAATGAAGATCTTAGGACCCGTGTGTATGTTGATACAATGGGTCCTGAGAGGTATAATAGAGTCAGAGGATACGGTCATGGGGTGACTCCTGATATGGTGTCCTATGCGTTTTCTTCATCTTCTACATCAATTTCCTCCAAGAGGTCATCTAACAGTGCAATGGCATTGCTGATGACTCAAAATAATGAGTTGAAATTGAAGGACGAAAATAACAATAAACGGATTTCAGACCTAGAGAACAAGCAAAGTCAGATGTTTGTGTGGCTTTTCCAAAGATTTCAGCCACAACTACAACCACAACCACCGTATAGCCCGGGAACCCAACAGTCAGGCCAGAGTCAGCCTCATCCTCCTCAATAGTCGGGTCAAAGTCAGCCACCCCTGCATATCCTTATGCTGGCCATAATCAGTAACCTCTGTATCCTATGTATCCGATGCCTATGCAGCCCACGACATACATGCAGTAGTCGCCTCCCATGCCTTACATGCAGGAGCCGCCTTATCAAGTGCCAATATATCGACCCGAGATGGCTGCTCCTTGTCTTGAATTTCCAGCTGGGGGGTTTAATGAAATGCTTGCGGGTGTTGGATCTGATGTGGATTTGTCGAGGATGTTGACATCAGATATAGGACCTCAAGGACGAGAAGGATATGTGCCACATTCAGGCACAGATTCAGTTCAGTAGTTTATTTGGTTCGCTTTCTTGTCGGCTAAATATGACACTTTAATTGTTCTATCTTTTTTATTTTTTTATGTTATGTTTGTAATGTCAGATTTAGTAGTTGTTATGACGGATGAGTTTTTGTATATTAAGTGGAACGTTAGATGTACAATATTTGTGTATTTTGGCACTATTTCTTGTTAATTATTTTCATTAATGTTTATTTTGGCCTTGGAATTTATTATTGTAATTATATAAATTTTTTCTGTTACAATTAATTGAAGACGAATGCAGTTTGTCGGTTTTTTTTATTATTATTAACAAAGGTGGTGTCGGTTAAGACCGTTATTAGTTTGCATATTTTATTTATTTAATTGTTATTTGACGTCAATTTATGGGATATTAAATTGATTTAATTTTATTTCGATGTCGTTTAAAAGAGACAGTAGGATGGATATTTTACAATTAAATTGCTAATGAACGTCGCTTTAAAGCGACGTAACGTGTACGTATATGTCGGTTTAAACCGACGTGAATTTTAGTGTCGCTTTAAAGCGACGCTGTTTAGTGGCAGTTTAAGCCAAGAAACCGACACTAAAGCCATTTCGTGACGATAGCAATAGTGTCGCTTTGAAAATGCGACATTACATTGTTTTGTGTCGAATTTTTGCCAAATTTCTGATTGAAATCGGATTTCTCGTCGGTTTTTGCTCCGACGGTGATAGCATATATTGTAGTAGTGTTATACATGTAATTACACATTATTTTAACCCATTTATAACATTCATGTTTTCTATATGTATTTTTAACATATTATCGAAGAAATAAAAATATTTTAAATAAATTAAAATTTAAAATTTAAAAAATGCCAAATTTTTTAAATTTTAACGAAGTTGTCGAATAATACATGTACATGGACGTATTTTTAACGTACCATACCTGGTCCGTTCCTTATTTTTTGAACAATGCTTGAAAGCAACGGGATATTTAATATGTACCAAGAATAAGAATTGTAATCACTATTATTTTATATCGTCGAGATAATATTCAATATTACATAATTGAAATAAAAAACAAAATAGAAACTGAACATGCTGACTTGTATCGTAGATTGAGGTTTGCAGTGGCGAAGCTACAGAGGGACTGGGAGGGGCGTCAGCCCCTCCCCTCGCCGGAAATTAAGCCCAGGAGGGTGGTTCCGCCCCTCTGGTCTTGTCGGAATTAATGGCTACACCTGCACTGCATATCAGTTTCTATCTGGGTTTCTGCTTGAGTTTCTGCTGCTGTGCAGTAGCTTATGTTTTTGTTTTCAAATCCCTTAAATGAAACGGCATCGTTTCATTTAAAAAGAAACAAACTCCTTACTAAAACGAATCGTTTCGTTTGATAGGTTAAAAAAAAAATAAATAAATAAAGGGAACCATTGTCCCGTGCCTTTAAAGCAGCCAACACTTTTTCAAAACAAAACTCCTTTTTAAGAACCAATCAGAACAGCCGTGCCCCCCCAAATCCCAGCAGCAGTTTCAATTTCAGCGCCCTCCGTCCCGTTCCGTTGTCCCTTATTTCTCCTTCAAGCCGAGCCAGCCAGCCGCCAGCCTCTAGCAACCAACCTACTGGTTGGTTTTTCACTTCTCTCTCAATTTTGGGTAAATTTTTTAACTTTCTAATTTATATTATCCCTAACCCTAATTGATTAATTAATACGAAATTTTAGTTTATTAATATAGAATCATAGAGTAATACACTAATATAGTTATTGATTTTTTATTTTTGCGTATAAATATGAATCCTATGAATGATTATTGATGAATGAAATTATTGACTAGAGTAAAAATTGAATTCTGGATTATTGATTAATTGATTATTGATATTAATTTATGAATTGAATTTTTGTGTATTAAATAATTTATATGAATATTGGTATTGATTAATTGAATTGTTGGTTTAATTAGTTAGTACTCATATTGACTATAGTATAGTTTACTCTAGGATTAAGAGTCTAAGACTTTTTCTTGTCTTTTCCATATACAGTTACATAATGGAACGATACTATAAGAAACAGTGCTTAAATCCTCCTTCAAATATTTCGGCTAGTCCTTCTTCGAATATTCCGAGTAGTCCTCCTTCGAATATTCCAAATATTCATTCTTCGAATATTCCGGGTAGTTCCCAACAAAGTGAGGTCACTGAGTTGGATGAAATACTGGCTAATCTTCCTTCAGACCCTGGACATAGATGTCGAATACTTGATTATCCACCTAATTATCGTGAAGCAATTCGTCGACACTATCTCCAAAATAATCCTTGTCAACCTAAAGACCACATCATGCCCAGAAAAGTTAGCAACAATCGATGTTTTGTTACCCGTTGGTTTGATAATTTTAAGTGGTTGGAGTATAGTATAGTAAAAGATGCTGCATTTTGCCGTTATTGCTATCTATTCAAGTGTGATTTTGATAAAGAGGGAAATGCCGGAAGTGATGTCTTCACCGAGATTGGGTTTACAAATTGGAGGAAAGGACCCGAAAATTTTCGAGATCATGAGGGAGGTGTTGGAAGTCTTTATAATAAAGCTTTACAACAAGCTAGAGATTTGATGACGCAAAAGCAACATATTGAAACATTTGTGATTAAGCAAACTGATGAAGCTCGCATTAATTATCACACTTTATTGTGTGGCACACTTGATTGCACAAGATGGTTGTTGCAACAAGGTTTGCCTTTTCGTGGCCATGATGAATTGTTCAAATCAAGCAATAGGGGTAATTATTTGGAGCTTATGCAATTTCTTGCCGATCATAATGATAAAGTTAGGAAGGTTGTGTTTGAGAATGCTCCCGAGAATCTCAAGTATACTTCTTCCGATATTAAAAAAGATCTTGTCCGTGCTTGCACCATTGAAACTATTGGTGCAATTACTAAAGATATGGAAGGTACATTTTTTTCTCTTTCGGTTGATGGATCACGTGATTCTTCAACTAAAGAGCAAATGGCGGTGGTATTGCGTTATGTGAACAAAGAAGGAGAAGTAATTGAAAGGTTTTTGGGTGTGCAACATGTCTCATCTACAACTAGTAGCTCGCTTGAAAAGGCCGTTGAGAGATTATTTGCTTCAACAAATTTGAGTATGTCCAAGTTACGGGGACAAGGCTATGATGGAGCTAGTAATATGAAAGGAGAACTCAATGGCCTTAAAGCAAAAATTTTGAACAAGTATCCTCAAGCATTTTATGTTCATTGTTTTGCACACCAACTTCAACTAGCTCTTGTAGCCGTTGCAAAAGGAATTGAGGGTGTTGCCATTTTCTTCAACAATGCTAGTATTTTGGTCAATACTATTGGATCATCGTGTAAGCGTCGTGATGCATTTAGAGAGAAACAACTGGAACAAATTAAGAAAGCTCTTGATATTGGTGATCTTGAAACGGGTAGAGGGTTAAATCAAGAGAGTAGTCTCATGCGTCCTTGTGATACACGTTGGAACTCACATTATGGTACTATAATTAGTATTATTGTCATGTTTGAAACCGTGGTGGAAGTGCTTGAATGGATTAAAGATGATACCAACCAAGACAGTTTCGGTGAAATAAGTCAGTTATTTCATAACATACAAACTTTTGATTTTGTGTTTCACCTTTTTTTTATGAGACTCGTATTGGGAATTACAAATGAGTTATCACAAGCATTACAAAAGAAAGATCAAGATATTGTGACTGCAATGACGTTAGTGGAAGTATGCAAGCAAAGATTACAATCCTTGAGAGATGATGACTTTGGGGACTTACTTGATGATGTACAAAAGTTTTGTCAAGAGCATGATATTGTCGTTCCTAACATGAAGGATTTGCATTTCGTACCCGGAAAATCAAGGCGTAAAGCTCCAAGACTCACAAACTTCCATTACTATCATGTGGACCTCTATTTTCAAGTCCTTGACACACAATTAAAGGAATTGAATGATCGCTTTAATGAGGTAAACACCGAGTTGCTTCTTTGTATGGCATGTTTGAGTCCGGTGAATAATTTTGCATCTTTTGACAAAGCAAAAATTGTTCGTCTAGCTCAACTTTATCCTCAAGATTTTGATCGTATGGACCTCATGAACCTTCCAATTCAACTTGACAATTACATTTACGATATGAAGATGCACAGTGAGTTTTCATCATTGAGAGGAATTGGTGATCTTGCAAAAGAGTTGGTGAAGACTGGGAGGTTTGCAAGCTATATATTAGTGTATAAGCTTCTTACATTGGCTTTGGTTTACCGGTTGCAACCGCTTCGGTGGAGAGAGCTTTTTCTGCTATGAAGATTGTGAAAACACCATTGCGTAACAAAATGGGAGATCAATGGTTGAGTGATAGTATGCTTGTTTATATTGAGAGAGATGTATTTACTTTTATTGATAATGAGCCTATTATGCGACGTTTTCATGATATGAAACCTCGTCGGCAACAATTGTAATTTGTTTGTATTGATAAATTATGGAAGACATTATTATAGAAAATGATTTGGTTGTTGCTATTGTTTTGAACCTTGTACTCTTTTAACTTCGCCCCTCCCCCCGTCAATTCCTGGCTTCGCCACTGGAGGTTTGCATATTGTTAATGTCCTAAAGACATAATTTTAGTTATTTGTTGTCTTGAAGTTCAATAGACATTCATCTCCCATGAGTCAACTGTCTATAAATGAAGGACTAACACCAAATAGTTAATCTCTGACGAACAATGTATGTTTTTGTCAAGCAAATCTTCGGCTCATGACTCCAATACCAGAACATTCAAATAAGAATTCCCCAGCGCCCAAGACTAAACTTTTATCTTTAGTCGATCCCTTTCAAAACATGACAAGCCACTTAAACTTATAAAGCCTATATAAAACCTGGTTTTCGCCGATGTGATTTGTGTTAATTCTGAACTTGAACCAAAGCATCCTTCAAAAGTAGCAGATTTGCAGTTGTAGAGCCCTAGCCTGGGCCCGTTTACTAATTAGTGGGTTTTGGATGCGGGCTGTGTTTAAAACGGATCTAATTAACTAACCAAGATTGAAAGGAAAGTCCAATCCATACTGGTTCGCTCGTTCCTATTCGTGTAGGAATTAGGAATAAAATTATATTTCTTGGATTCTAACTCAAAATTTCTCACATGGAAGGGGTTGACATTGATACAAAGTCAGCTCCAATTTTAATCATACGACTAATATATCTTAGTCCTCTTTATATACAATTAAAGAATTGCTTTGTCTTCCTTTAGAAAGACCTCACTTCTTAATTGAGAACTCGAAGCCGGCTCAAAATAGACATAATATATCTATTATTCATTTTCCACAAGGATTTTACAAATTCGTTCAAATGCAGCTGGTCTTAACTATAGTGATTGATAGTACTACGTGGTGGAGTCACATAGGTCATTGGTTGTCCATGATCCCAACAACTTCAAAATCTCTATGTATATATGATTGTGTATTTGTATTTAACCCCAATAAACAGTTATGGAAAACTAAATCATAACTTCCGTCTTCTTTTAATTTTGTTTTCTTTTATCATCCATGAGTTGAATATCAGAGTGCGGAACGAACAAGACTAACAGAATAATAAGATTATTGTTAAACAAACTAGAATGCCGAAACGGCTACAAAACCCTAAGAGACTACATTGTGAATGACTTATTATTCATGCTAAATTACAAGTTATATTTATAGAAAGCAAAACCTAAGAAACCCTAACTCGGATGGGCTAGGCCCAATTACTAAACTAACAAGCAAAACTTAAATACTAAAATAAACCTAAATACTAATATTTTCCAACACCCCCTGTCAAACTCATGGTGGTATACGACATGAGTTTGCAAAAAAGTAGATGCGGACTGGCTCTGTTAGGCGGACTGGCAGGCATGCAAACTTGACTTGACTTGATTCTTGACTTGACTTGACTTGATTCTTGATTCTTGACTTAGCTTGATTCTTGATTCTTGATTGCAAACTGGCAAACTGATTCTTGATTCTTACTGGCAAACTGATTCTGGTTCCGACTAGCTAGAGTTAAGAGTATGGAAAGAACCCGTCACTAAATGGACGAGATTTCCATATCTCAATTGTAACAACGAATGAACAAACACAACACAATCACTCAAGTGGTCACAATTCCAAGCACTTGAATGATGAACACAAAACAATCTCAATCAAACCAAAAAATGGCTGGCAAACCGCCTATATTTTCTCTTTGCCCGTGTGGGCCAAAAAACCTCCAACTTTTTCTTTCTTTTTTTCCCTTTTTTTCCCCCTTCCTTCTTCCTTCCTTTTTTTCCTTCTGTGTGAACCAACAACATCAGCCTTTTTTTTTTCTTTTTCTATCCTTTCCTTCCTTCCCATTTTTCTTTCTTTTTCTTTCATGCGAACAAACAGCAGAACCTTTCTGTTTTCCTTTTTTTTCTCTTGCAAACAATCAATACCAACTAACAATCTAAAACAAATGACGACAAAGGCAAACAAATTGATACCAATGAGAACGGATTGTACCCTAAGGATTGAACCCGCTCTGATACCAAGTTGAATATCAGAGTGCGAAATGAACAAGACTAACAAAATAATAAGAATATTATTAAACAAACTAGAATGCCGAAATGACTACAAAACCCTAAGAGACTACATTGTGAATGACTTATTATTCATGCTAAACTACAAGTTATATTTATAGAGAGCAAAACCTAAGAACTCCTAACTCGGATGGACTAAGCCCAATTTCTAAACTAATAAGCAAAACCCAAATACTAAAATAAACCTAAATACTAATATTTTCCAACAACATGTCTTTGCTTTCTCTTTTCTTGTATGTGACTTTATTCTACGACCAAGTGCTCAATGAAATGCCAAGTCTTGGCAGCCTTCAACATTACTAGACAGTTTACTACAGTTGCCCTCAACAAGCCTTTATTGATCTTAGTAGTTGTCGACATACGTTGGCGTAAGCTTTTGACAAATTGTGCAAGAATTGGTAAGTGCCCACCAGATACTCAACAATATAGTCCAATGAAACTTTTTTTGTTGAAATTATGGCCCCACAACTGACGTGAATGTGTGATGGACACCTTAAGAAGTATCCCTATCTCGCAAGAGCAGTAAGGACCTAGATTCTTTGTTAATCAACCCCTCTGCATGCAAAATCTTACCAATTCCTCCTGTTCTTGTTTCCATATTTATTTTCATTTTGGTAGAAGCAAATGAATTATCATTTGCCTCAACTTGCAATACTAAAGTCTATAACAGTATGAAACATTTTTAATGTGATGATCACACCGTCACATGATGTTACTAATTTACACATTATAATATTGGTAGATGATAGTTAGCATACTCATAGTAGTGTGAATTGATACAATTAAACGAGAAGTACGTGCTATTGCTTTTTTTTTTCCTTTTCACTCTAATAAAGCAGCAGCCTCTTTCACAAGCAAGAAAGTGCTTATTTTCTACCAAATTAATCGGTGATATATATGCACAAGAACTAGGAACAACCTTCACAAAGAGTAGGAAAAGTTAGGTTTTTGAACCAAGTAATGGAAAACATGACAAGGATTTCCACCCTCTCATCACATTGCCTACGCAGCTCAAAACAGATGATATACACATGGGTGGTGCTATCCACACATCTATTTTACTTATCTTACACTCTGTGTTAATTTTTATTATTTAATATTTTTTCAATCCATTCAATCGGTGACTAAAAATTATGAGAAATGTGTAAAAGATGAAAAATGATGTGTGGACAGCATCACCGTATATACATATCACCTCAAATAATCAACTTTTGTTGTGTATTACTATTTCCCAACAATCACTTTTCAAATTGAAAATTATAAGTAGTTGATGCAGCAAGCCACTCTTTTTAGTTATAATATTATATATTTGCTTTGTTGCAATGTATATTAAAACATGTTTCATTTGTTTGGATGCCAAATGTGCAACTTAATTAAATATATTAGAGTGTTCATTGGTTATTAACAGATATGAAATCTCTTCCACTTTCTCCACCCTTTCAACTTTTTTTTTCTTTTCTTTTTTTCTGTTAATGACACCAACGACCGAAATGATGCACTAAACAAAATAATAAATAATTCACACAAACGATTCACTAAGCGTTTTTTTTTCTTTCAAACACGATTAACTTTGAATACGTGCAATTATCTGCAAAGGCTACATGCAGGGGCGGAGCCAATTCAGGCTTAGAAGGATCAGCTAAACCTTCTGCCCATTTGCATCACTATAGCAATAATGTAGATCTTTTCTAACATTTTGCCAAGTTTGTTCAGCTTTGACCCTTCTCACCCTAGTAATTATTGAATTCCTTACTAACATTGTTTTGGAATTTTAGTCAAAATAAGTCAGGAATAGTCTATATATAATAATTTTTGGAATGATGATTATCAGTCTAATGTGTAGATATATTGAATTTATTATATTATAAACAGTCATAAGACACTAAAAAGAAAAATAATAGAGATAATGCACAATTAGAATGAATCAGAGATTATATATTAGTATTTAAGATATATATTGTTTATGGATGTGTATTTTTCTATTTTGATGAACAACAATGAGTTCAATTTTTTTAGCTCTGTTCATTTTCAATTGTAAGTGGGAAGTTTTAGGCTTGACTCTCAATGTGTGACTTAGTTAAATCTCTCACTTCATGTAAAATTGACCACCTATGACAATATTTCTGACTCTGCCACTAACTACATGTATTCTATTTATAAATTTAAACAAAAAAAAACACTATTATTTTAAATGTACAAATTTACAGTTCGTCTCATATTCGTTGTTTCATCACTTGGTGCCATTTGGGTTGCCAAATTTTATTTTACGCATGGCTGAAAGGCATGTCTACGGAAAGCTCAAAACTATTGGAGAGAAGAATCACAATACTTTTGTATAAACATTGAGGGAACACAAGAAAGCCAAAAAGTGGGCGGGGGTTTTGTGACTAAGGTATATGTGGTCATAAATCAAACATAAAAAGCTAATAATCAAAATTAGAATAAAGGTAGCCAAAAGTGCTTTTGCTATGCAACTTGCAGAAAAGTTGCTTCTTTGAAAAAAGAAAGTGGGTAAACTTGTCACATAATAGTTGAGTCTTAATTCTCGTCGGATTTTTTTTTGAGAATCTCGAAGATTTGTGAATCGTGTTTGTTTATCGTACATCATACGATCAGAAATTATTTTAAATAATTTTATTTAAAAATAAGCATAAATAGTACTTGACAAAAATTGATCACACGATGTACGATGAATGAACACAATTCACGAATTCCCAGAATCCAGAGAGGATCTTGTTGGCTTAATAGTTCAAATTTTTTTTGTAAGGATAACCCATTCTTTATAATTTGGTCATGTTGCCCCGAGTATTTTGTCTAGTGGGTGGGACCAAAATAAGGTGTACAAGGCAATATGGTGGGCACTAGGCTTTTCATAAGGTTTTTGCATAAAGCAAACAATAATTTTAGTGCCAGCAATTAGCAACAGCAAGCAACTAAACAAAGGGTCCAATTCAAAGAGAGATTTTTTAATGTGCTCAAAATACGGATACATATATTATATGTCATTATAAAAGTGTAATTATTTTTTTCAAGTATCTTCCCACTTATATAATGATATACAACATATATGCTTGTTTTCCGGATACTGAAAAATCTCTCCAATTCAAGGAATGGGAATAGAAACGGGAATAGGGATAGGAATTAGAATACGGATTGTGCTATTCTTGTCCAATGTTTAACTGCCTAATGGATGTTGTTTGGGATTTACCTCCTAGATAAAACATGGGGGGAAATCTTTTAGTTCCAATGAAAAAAATGACACGTGAGACATACAATGATTATCCAAAAAATTACTTGATCTTAGTCAAGCACAAAGTTGGTGGTAATTCTTATCCCAAATTAAAAAAAAAAAAGGTTGGTGGTAAATAATCCTAACTGCTGCAATGAGGAGAGCTCCATACATATGTAAACTACATGGAGCTTGGTGGAATGACTGCTCATCCACAGTTAACCCTAGTCAACTAAAACAAGACAGTTCTCAGTTTCAACCGAAATAAGCAAGTGCGCACTTGGATATTAAGATCAAACGCGTGGAGGACTACTTATGTTAAAGAACTATCATCATTAGAGAGTTTTCAACCATAACATTGTTACTTCAACATTGGTCTTAATACCGAAGAAATTTCAACTATAACGCTACATCTTAGAAATTGGTCCATTAGAATCTTACCTTCCGTCCATTTAACTGAACAGTTGAAGAATCCTTACCCTTAGAATAATGTTTACTAATCAAGAACTAGGGTCAGGAGGAATCATATTAGTTAGAAATTGGGATAAGCAGAAATCAATCGAAGTGAGACATTAATTCATTCCACTTATGTAAACGCATCCTTCTCGTCATTACCGAGTACTACGTGGATGGTTAACAGTTTCATATGCTTGATGATATCCATGCACAGGTGACTTATACAGTCAAGATCATTCCATCCACATTGCAAATTGACTGGCAAGAAGATCCCTTTTGTCATGAAAGTGCTTTCACGCATAAACAAAAGTCAAGATTATTTTTCTCAAAGAATCCAAAGCCCCCATATGTTGAGGTCCAACTAAAAATTAAGTAATGCAGAAAATTGACATAAAGATTGATTAGTCATAACATTATGGCTTAGATGTCCCATGAAATACCGTAGGAATAGGATTAGGGGGACTTTTTGAAGTTTTTCTTTATATGGCACAGTACACCTTAAGAATCATTAAACCATGATTCCCCTTGTTGATTGCATTTGGCAGTCAACCAAAATCCAAGGCTATCCAGATATCACTGACAATTGGCTTGCTTTTGAGGGTGGGAGGGAATTTGAAACATTTTTAATTTATTTTGTTGTACGGCTCTTTGTGGAGAATTATTTCACAAAATCAGAATTTCTGTTGAATTATCAA